CCCCCCCCCCCCCCCCAAACAACTAGGGGGGGGTCCCCCATTAGGCATAGATCATCTTTCTTTACTTGCAAGTGCAACTGCCAACAATGTGCAAATTGCCAATTTGTGCAGAATAAGTATCCTGTTTTGTTTTTTTCCCTATATTTTCTTTTTGCCTTTTTGCAACAATTAGTTGTAACATTTTTGCTCGATGTTGATGTTCTCTTATCTGCAGATATGAGCCTAATACTATAGACCTCTCAGATCACAGTGAGCTAGAGTGAGTTGCATGCTGTTTATTTTCAATTTATTTTTCAAGAAAAAGTTTCTTATTTTTCAATTAAATTCTTTAACGGCTTAAATCCAATGGTTTAACTAGGAAGGTAGGGATATAATGCTTCTTTGCTTAAGTTGGGTATGAATTTTTCTGTAGATATTGGTTCACTGTGCTGTCAGAGCATTTGCCAGACCTTGTTGATAAGGTTAGCACTAAACACTGAGATTCTGCTAAAACTATAGGCGTGCTCTCTTTCTATGTCACTTTTGACACTTCTACTATTTGTAAAGATTGGGCCATTCAGTCTGATTCTAATTTCACATTATAAGTTATCATAATATACTGAAAATACAATTACACGTCTTGAAGAATAATTTTTTCTTAAATCTCGAGCACTATTGGTGATCCTTTCATAAGTAAAATCTAATTAAATAATCATGTTTGGACTAAGGAAATTGCTCCCACACACTCTTGAAGTTCGGGTGCCTTTATTTTGGGCTCACAACAAGCTTGCATGAAGGAGTGTCTTATATCTTCATACAACAAAACCCTTTTTTGATAATTTGATTAATGCTTGTGAGCCAACCCATGTTTAAATTGGGGACCTTTCTCCTTGACTGGAGTTGTGGGGTTGTAAGGTTGTGTGACCAATATTATATAAGGAAGTCGATGCTAAAGGTACACCCTTCCATGCTGAATTCTTGCAAACAACATACAATAACTGTAATCTATTTACTGGTCAAAAGCTGTGTATGTAAAAGAAGAAATCTTGGCATGACAGACTTGATGTTGGAGGGTGGTGATGTTTGTTGTGCATGGAAGTGGTGGCTAGATTTTGAAGTAGAGAAAGGGAAGATGAGATGTGGGTTTAACACCTCAGATTAATGCAAGTGTGTGGGTATGTGTGCGTGTATGTAGTGAATGTGTAGTGTGGTGAACAATCAAGAGCAAGAACAGGAGATTTATGTGGTTTGGAAGAAATTTAATTACCAGCGTCCATGGGAGTGATTGTTTTCACATTGTATCAGAATTTGGTAAGGTGACAACATATTTATAGACACCGGGTAATAACCCTAATCCAACTAGAAAACCTAGTCCTAGTAAATCTGATACAAGCAACCTTGGTAAAACTCCTCTACCAAANATTGTTTTCACATTGTATCAGAATTTGGTAAGGTGACAACATATTTATAGACACCGGGTAATAACCCTAATCCAACTATAAAACCTAGTCCTAGTAAATCTGATACAAGCAACCTTGGTAAAACTCCTCTACCAAATATACATTGAAAATTCCCAATATACCCATACTATATTGCTGGGGGCTCAGCTTCTGCATCCGCTTTGCTTACCACTGGGGCAGTTGTGGTATATGAAATACACATTTTATATATACTTGTAAGAATCAAAGAAGGAAAAGAAACAAATGGATTTTATTTTCCAATTGAGAGATATATTTGACATGGAGGGGTAAAATGATAAAATAAGTCGCTGGTTAGCCACTTAATGTTGTTTACATCATTTGGGTCACCTACTCTGACAAGTTCGTGTAATTTCTGAAATGCCAAGGGTTGTTCATAGTGTTGCAAAAATTTAGGAGGTTTCAATGTATTATGTAATTGGTTTATATTGTGTGGATAAGGCTGTATATTTTTGAAATTTGTGTTCGTTTTTTATTTAGATATTTGTTAAGGTTATAACTGTCAGAACTTGAGGTGAAATTTGCAGGCAGTGGCAAGTGAAGGCGGTACCGATGACGCTGAAAGAAGGGCTAATGCATTTGCTCGTGCATTCTCTGCCCACTTGGCAAGGTATATACATACTGATAATTTTTCCCTTTTCTTGCACCTTTACATTTGATGAGGGACCAGGTAACCTTTGCCATGGATGAGTTTTGAGGACTACTGCTTTTCGTTGCTGATGAGAAGAGCACAGTGGGGCATGGCTAGAGCTCTAGAGATCAAGATCCTTGGATTATGTGTCTTTGGTTCAAAAATTTTAGACATAATCCTCAATTATGAGGAGCCCACCCATCATGGCTTTTCATGTCCACCTTCTGGACTTTGGAGTCTTGCCTTTGTTTTCCAACTTTATGCACAGTGTACAGCTGCTTTCTTTTTGTTGCCTAGTCGGGGAGCAAGATTCATGTAGCCAGAACCAAGTAATTGGGATTAGGTTTTGTTGGTTGAGTTGCTGAGTTGAGCCGGGGAAGAAAATGAAATATACTGTACTGTTTTCTGTCACATCTGAAGATTCATGATGACCGATCGATCCACACTATTGTACCAATTGTGCTCACAATGTATCTGGGTCAAATGTAGGGCTACTGGATTTCTGAGAATCCAAACAGGATGATACCATATTTTGTACGCTTTGATGCCACCAGTTTTAGATTTGCCTCTATCTCCAGGTCAGAGAGATCATCCTCTTACTCTTGGAAGCCAGGTGCCTCCTGTCAAATCATTTGCCCTAAATCATACCCCTTCCAATTTTCAAGGCCCCAGCAGTAGAATTTCCTTTTTTATGTTGGATCACCACCACGGTTCCACTAACCTTAGAGTGGATGTAAGATAGCACCATTCCTGCAACAAGAAGACACTTCAGAAGAATAATGTCACCAAATTTAATCAGATACAATGAGCGTACAAAGATTGAACTTGCTGTTGCAAGTAGCAAGCACAATAATTTCCAACAGACTACCTTAAGTAAAGGTGCAAAAAAATCAATTTTCCACATCTATGTTATTAGATTTCATATCCCAGTGGGATAGAAAACGCATTCTTATGAGGACTACAACCTGCTGAGCAGTTTCTTAATACATTGGAGGTTGGCTCAATTTTGCTGACCCCTATTGAATTTGTGAAACCTTTTGAATTGTGTAATGTACAGAGTCTACAGACTTTTAGTTTCATGGATACCTAATCAAAGTTTGAGTGGTATACCTTTGGCAAAAAACTCAATTTAATCCATAATTTTGCCAAAGTTTATTTTCACACCTTGCCTCAAATTTTCAGTTCAACAATTCCATTTTAACCCAATACAACAAAAACTCACCCGAACCTTTGAGAACTGCTTCGTAACTTTCGAGTATTTTGATGTTTAGGCTTTGTACTCTCTGCATGCTATAGCCTCTTTTTTTCTCCCGGGAAAAGTACCTTCTCAAATTCTGTACCAACTACTGGACTATTTGAAAAAGCTTTGGCTGCATCAATTACTCTCTCTGCTGAAATTACTGGTGATAATAATAATAAAAAAAAAGTCTTTAGATTACTTCAAAAATGAAATTCTGTGGATTCACCATTTCCAATTGGAACTCCTATACGGGAAATAGGTTGATGGAGGAGCCAGCTGCATATGGGAAGTTGGGACTGGCCAACCTGTTAGAGCTAAGGGAAGAGTGCTTGAGAGAGTTCCATTTTGTTGATGCTTACCGAAGCATAAAACAGAGGTATGCATCTATTATTTGATAAAGATGTTGTGTTTGTTATATATCATATGAAAATGCAAGGTTGTGGCATCATTCCTCTAAGAACACTTCTTCTATACATGAACTGGCCTTTGGGTTATTTCATTGTATCCCATTGTTGGACATTGTAGTGAAGCTTTCACGGACCCAGCTATTAGTTGAAGTGCACATAAAATATTGAGCTGTCGGCATTGATTTTACTTTTCATTTACCCATTTTGCTTGTTCTATGTGGTAGGGAAAATGAGGCATCACTTGCTGTTTTACCTGATCTTTTAATGGAGCTTGATAGTATGAGTGAGGTATGCATGATTTCAGGCATCTACTTTCGTCCCCTCCCTGCCCTCAGCGGTAGAAGAATAGAGTCATATTATTTTTAGCTTGGACCGTTACCATGTATATCAATTATGACTTGACATAATTTCCTGCAAGTGAGAAGAAATCATCCTTAAGTTGGTCAAAAAAAAAAATCAAAGATTCCTGTTGAACCCTGCTTAAATAAATTTAGAGCTGAATTTGCAGGAATGGGCTCCTTCAGTCGTTCCTTGCTATACTTCTGATGCCTCTGTCTTCATTTTGCTAATGGTTAGGATCATTCTCTTATTTGCAGGAAACAAGAATGCTAACTTTAATTGAAGGTGTACTTGCTGCAAACATCTTTGATTGGGGATCCCGGGCTTGTGTTGACCTCTATCACAAAGGAACAATTATTGAAATATATAGGATGAGTCGCAAAAAAATGCAAAGACCTTGGAAGGCAAGTGGATCCAATTGTTTTCATTTGAGTCATGTTTCTTTGAGTAAAGTAAGTGTTTTATAAAGATTGTGGATGACTAAGTTCGTGCTGATGCATTTCAGGTGGATGATTTTGATGTTTTCAAGGCGAGGATGTTAGGATCTGGAGAAAAGAAACCTCGACCACATAAAAGAGCATTGCTCTTTGTGGATAACTCAGGTGCTGACATTGTTCTAGGAATGCTTCCCTTGGCACGTGAACTTCTCCGACGTGGAACTGAAGTGAGTTTACTTCTCAATAGTTCTGAATCAGTTTCAGTTTGACTTGTTTGAAAGGCATCACCCACTGTGGGAAATTTATCAAAAAAATTCATTGGTTATAGAGGATGGGTTTATGCCTGTCCCGAGTCTTCCCATGCAAACAATTGTTTAACCACAGATATTTATAACTGGCAAGGCTTTTATATTCAGAAGTTCATACCATGAAATTGTTTTGCACGGGAATGCTTTATGTAGGAGGTAAAAAGTGTGGATCTTGTTAAAACATCCAACCCAAAACCAATTGGCAATGAGTAGAGAGACCCCTTAACCATATAAATCAACCTTGGGTGACACTATTCATTCGATGTGGGACAAAAGCTCTTTTACATCCTCCATGTGGGACAGGCTTGCATGTGGAGCTGCCAAACAGACAAACAAACATATTGGGTAAGAGACTTTGCCCACTAATCACCCAAGGCTCAACCCTTATACCATGTTACTCAAAACTAATTAGTCATGAGTGGAGACGCCGCTTAAGCATTTACCAACGGCCATAATTATTCGATGTGAAATACAAGCTTTCTTTACGGATCTAACTACATAGGAACATTTTTTCTGAACCTGCTTTGCTTTAGTTTATATATGTTGAATGTATATCTGTATCTTAATAGACAAGTAACTGGTAATAGTCCTTCAGGTTGTGCTGGTTGCAAACTCCCTTCCTGCACTGAATGATGTTACTGCTATGGAGCTGCCCGATATTGTGGCTGAGGCTGCCAAGGTTTGTGTTGAACTATATGCATAAGGGCTTTACGTGTACATTCATAAACTTGAGTCACAGAATCCTGTCGTCATAACTATAGGCATAATGAACGTAGGCCTATTTTCTTTTTCTTCTTACTTGGGGGGCCAAAAAAAAAAAAATGCTTTTTCCAATACATTCATGTACATGTTGAAATTTCTTAGATTCTACAGGTGAGAACAGAGAAGAATGTTTCTAGTCCTCCTTAAATATTACTAGATAGATTCTTTTATCTTTTACAAGAACAGATGAAAAAGAGAAGTTGAGATTGAAAGGAATAAAAATAGTTTCTGTCTTATAATGCTTACCCCACATAACACCTAAACCATATTTGCCTTTTAAATGTAGATATTTAGGTACAGATGCTAAGGCCAATCCTTATCTGTTATAGCTTTACCCCAATGATACCTATAATTGTGTGCTACTGTTAGGTGTTCCCATTCCATTGCTTATTGTTCCAACAAAATATCCTGGTAACATGACTCTAGAGACCATTCTGCTAATCAATATGGGGGAACGTACTATTCTGTTCCAGCATTGTGACATTATTCGGGGAGCCGCTGAAGCAGGAGGCTTGCTTGTGGATGCAATGATTAACATCCAAGATGGTTCTAAANTGGGGAACGTACTATTCTGTTCCAGCATTGTGACATTATTCGGGGAGCTGCTGAAGCAGGAGGCTTGCTTGTGGATGCAATGATTAACATCCAAGATGGTTCTAAAGAAAAATCAATTCCAGTTCCTTTGATGGTTGTTGAGAACGGGTGTGGGAGTCCATGCATAGATTTGAGACAGGTCAGCTTGGAGCTTGCTGCTGCTGCCAAAGATGCTGATTTGGTACAATGCTTTTCCTTTAATGGAACTCCATTTGAAGAATTGTTGCTTTGTTATGGCTGTAATTTCTTGAAGTTTTCTCTTTCCTTTTTCTTATTTTTTTGTGTGGTGATTTTTTTCTGGGAGGGGTGTAACAGTGTGGAGGGGGGTTTCCTCGTAATTTTTTGCGGCTCAGTTAAGCAACTGTGTTCAAGAACAATGTAAGAAAGGCTAAGCATCATAGGTTGATCATATACTGGGTTTTGTCTCATGCAGATTATTTTAGAAGGGATGGGTCGAGCTTTGCATACTAACTTTAATGCGCGCTTTAAATGTGATGCTCTGAAGGTAAGACTCTACTGTGCCCGGATGTTCTTGAAGTTGTACGATTTTTTGAGGAGGTATTTCTGCATGTTCACATTAATAGTCGATCACCATAGGAGTGGCCCCATTTGTTCTCCTTTTGCATTTGATGGTTATTTGTAAGTCAGCCAACTTTTCCCCATTATGATTCGCCATTGCTTGCCACTGATTCCATGGAGGTTTTCACTTGATTCAGTTGATATTTTAGCTTGAAACAAGATTGAAAAAAATCCAAGGCAAAAAGTGGATAATCTTTGCGGAATTTTTTTTTTTGGACCCCCAAAATGGCAATTTTTGTCTGCATGCATGCATGCCTCTAAACCTTGGCACTTCAGATAGTAATTGAGCCCTCCCTCCCCCTACCAAAAAAGAATGAAAAAAAGAGCAATGACAAGTGTGCTGTTCAAAGGTTCTAATCTATCCATCACATGAACATTTTTTTGCAGCTTGCAATGGTGAAGAATCAGCGATTGGCAGGGAAGTTGATTAAAGGAAATATATATGACTGTGTCTGCAGATATGAACCAGCGTCCTGATAGTGTGTCCATTTTCTTTTTCTTTTTTTTTATCAATATATTTTTATTTCCTTTGCATCTTTGGCTGAGCAATTACAACAGGGACATCTGGGATGTGATTGTGTCAATCGCAAGTCTGTAGCCATTGATATGTACTCTGTTATCTGCAAATCTTTATCTTTATTTTAAGTTTGTTAGTGAAAGTTTAAGCCTCAACGGTTGCTCAGGCCCCAAAACCAAATGAGAATAATCCACAAACTTGTTACTTGCTTGGTTAAAAGTAAATCAAACATGAGTGTCTCATTTTGTTTCAATTGTCTCCTTGTGGTATGATTAAACCAATGCTTCGCGTAGTGAGTCGTATGCTTTTTTTCTTTCTTTCTTTCTTTTTTTAATGTGAATCGTATATTTGTATTTCCAAATATGGTGGTCGTGTGGTACAATACTATTCCCTTTGCATTTTGGATGCATTTTTGTGTTTTTAGAAGTGCATATATATAAGAATGTAATCTGTCAAGTAGCTGCTCATATGCAATCAATGATGTGTCCTTTTTTGTAGTTTTTTATGTTGTTGCTTGTAGTGAGCATCTATAAAGGGAGAAGCTACGGTACCAAATAAGGTATTGTATCAAAATTTATAATCATTTAAGGTTAAATTATAATTTTTTTGATGTATAAGTTATAATCATTAAAGGTCATGATAAATTGAGATTGATATCGAAGTTGTAACTTTTAAAAGTCAAGTTACAACTCATAAGAGAGAAATTATAATAGCTCAGGAGAAATTTATGATTGATCATGTGTATATGTGATTGATTATGTGTATATGTGATTGATCATGGTCTCCTGAGCAGTTGTAATTTCTTCTTTATGAGTTGTAATTTTACCATAAAAATAGTAAGTGGTGGTATGGTACCTCANTCTTTTACAAGAACAGATGAAAAAGAGAAGTTGAGATTGAAAGGAATAAAAATAGTTTCTGTCTTATAATGCTTACCCCACATAACACCTAAACCATATTTGCCTTTTAAATGTAGATATTTAGGTACAGATGCTAAGGCCAATCCTTATCTGTTATAGCTTTACCCCAATGATACCTATAATTGTGTGCTACTGTTAGGTGTTCCCATTCCATTGCTTATTGTTCCAACAAAATATCCTGGTAACATGACTCTAGAGACCATTCTGCTAATCAATATTGGGGAACGTACTATTCTGTTCCAGCATTGTGACATTATTCGGGGAGCTGCTGAAGCAGGAGGCTTGCTTGTGGATGCAATGATTAACATCCAAGATGGTTCTAAAGAAAAATCAATTCCAGTTCCTTTGATGGTTGTTGAGAACGGGTGTGGGAGTCCATGCATAGATTTGAGACAGGTCAGCTTGGAGCTTGCTGCTGCTGCCAAAGATGCTGATTTGGTACAATGCTTTTCCTTTAATGGAACTCCATTTGAAGAATTGTTGCTTTGTTATGGCTGTAATTTCTTGAAGTTTTCTCTTTCCTTTTTCTTATTTTTTTGTGTGGTGATTTTTTTCTGGGAGGGGTGTAACAGTGTGGAGGGGGGTTTCCTCGTAATTTTTTGCGGCTCAGTTAAGCAACTGTGTTCAAGAACAATGTAAGAAAGGCTAAGCATCATAGGTTGATCATATACTGGGTTTTGTCTCATGCAGATTATTTTAGAAGGGATGGGTCGAGCTTTGCATACTAACTTTAATGCGCGCTTTAAATGTGATGCTCTGAAGGTAAGACTCTACTGTGCCCGGATGTTCTTGAAGTTGTACGATTTTTTGAGGAGGTATTTCTGCATGTTCACATTAATAGTCGATCACCATAGGAGTGGCCCCATTTGTTCTCCTTTTGCATTTGATGGTTATTTGTAAGTCAGCCAACTTTTCCCCATTATGATTCGCCATTGCTTGCCACTGATTCCATGGAGGTTTTCACTTGATTCAGTTGATATTTTAGCTTGAAACAAGATTGAAAAAAATCCAAGGCAAAAAGTGGATAATCTTTGCGGAATTTTTTTTTTTGGACCCCCAAAATGGCAATTTTTGTCTGCATGCATGCATGCCTCTAAACCTTGGCACTTCAGATAGTAATTGAGCCCTCCCTCCCCCTACCAAAAAAGAATGAAAAAAAGAGCAATGACAAGTGTGCTGTTCAAAGGTTCTAATCTATCCATCACATGAACATTTTTTTGCAGCTTGCAATGGTGAAGAATCAGCGATTGGCAGGGAAGTTGATTAAAGGAAATATATATGACTGTGTCTGCAGATATGAACCAGCGTCCTGATAGTGTGTCCATTTTCTTTTTCTTTTTTTTTATCAATATATTTTTATTTCCTTTGCATCTTTGGCTGAGCAATTACAACAGGGACATCTGGGATGTGATTGTGTCAATCGCAAGTCTGTAGCCATTGATATGTACTCTGTTATCTGCAAATCTTTATCTTTATTTTAAGTTTGTTAGTGAAAGTTTAAGCCTCAACGGTTGCTCAGGCCCCAAAACCAAATGAGAATAATCCACAAACTTGTTACTTGCTTGGTTAAAAGTAAATCAAACATGAGTGTCTCATTTTGTTTCAATTGTCTCCTTGTGGTATGATTAAACCAATGCTTCGCGTAGTGAGTCGTATGCTTTTTTTCTTTCTTTCTTTCTTTTTTTAATGTGAATCGTATATTTGTATTTCCAAATATGGTGGTCGTGTGGTACAATACTATTCCCTTTGCATTTTGGATGCATTTTTGTGTTTTTAGAAGTGCATATATATAAGAATGTAATCTGTCAAGTAGCTGCTCATATGCAATCAATGATGTGTCCTTTTTTGTAGTTTTTTATGTTGTTGCTTGTAGTGAGCATCTATAAAGGGAGAAGCTACGGTACCAAATAAGGTATTGTATCAAAATTTATAATCATTTAAGGTTAAATTATAATTTTTTTGATGTATAAGTTATAATCATTAAAGGTCATGATAAATTGAGATTGATATCGAAGTTGTAACTTTTAAAAGTCAAGTTACAACTNTAAACCTTGGCACTTCAGATAGTAATTGAGCCCTCCCTCCCCCTACCAAAAAAGAATGAAAAAAGAGCAATGACAAGTGTGCTGTTCAAAGGTTCTAATCTATCAATCACATGAACATTTTTTTGCAGCTTGCAATGGTGAAGAATCAGCGATTGGCAGGGAAGTTGATTAAAGGAAATATATATGACTGTGTCTGCAGATATGAACCAGCGTCCTGATAGTGTGTCCATTTTCTTTTTCTTTTTTTTTATCAATATATTTTTATTTCCTTTGCATCTTTGGCTGAGCAATTACAACAGGGACATCTGGGATAATCGCAAGTCTGTGGCCATTGATATGTACTTTGTTATCTGCAAATCTTTATCTTTATTTTAAGTTTGTTAGTGAAAGTTTAAGCCTCAACGGTTGCTCAGGCCCCAAAACCAAATGAGAATAATCCACAAACTTGTTACTTGCTTGGTTAAAAGTAAATCAAACATGAGTGTCTCATTTTGTTTCAATTGTCTCCTTGTGGTATGACTAAACCAATGCTTCGCGTAGTGAGTCGTATGCTTTCTTTCTTTCTTTCTTTCTTTTTTTAATGTGAATCGTATATTTGTATTTCCAAATATGGTGGTCGTGTGTAGTACAATACTATTTCCTTTGCATTTTGGATGCATTTTTGTGTTTTTAGAAGTGCATATATATAAGAATGTAATCTGTCAAGTAGCTGCTCATATGCAATCAATAATGTGTCCTTTTTGTAGTTTTTTATGTTGTTGCTTGTAGTGAGCATCTATAAAGGGAGAAGCTCCGGTACCAAATAAGGTATTGTATCGAAATTTATAATCATTTAAGGTTAAATTATAATTTTTTTGATGTATAAGTTATAATCATTAAAAGTCATGATAAATTGAGATTGATATCGAAGTTGTAACTTTTAAAAGTCAAGTTACAACTCATAAGAGAGAAATTATAATAGCTCAGGAGAAATTTATGATTGATCATGTGTATATGTGATTGATTATGTGTATATGTGATTGATCATGGTCTCCTGAGCAGTTGTAATTTCTTCTTTATGAGTTGTAATTTTACCATAAAAATAGTAAGTGGTGGTATGGTACCTCCTTCGGTACAACATTGACCACGCCGGGTCTATTCATCCATTCACAATTGTATAGTATTGAATACTACCATAATCATCATCATTATGTACATTCATTCGTAAAAAAATAAATGTCTCAAAAGAGTCTCTTATACATGTCTTTTAAATATAAACAAGTTTTTGTTACAAAAATTACACAACGCCAAAAATAATTATAAATAAGGGACTATGATGTCAAAAGAAGAGCCACAAACCGGCTCTGTCGTCAAAATAGGCCCATGGCCTCGCCTTCGATGAACTCATGTGCAATACCTGAAAAATGTTCCCATAAAGGGTGAGTCAACGCTCAATAGGGTAACTCCTATAAAGAATACCTCTCAACCTAAATGCATATAAATTGTCACATACAACAATCATTTCATACAATCATTCATATATGTCTATTATGAACAAATGTCATAAATTATTTCATGCCATAAGATGAGACTCACGGAAATAATACTAACACCGAGCCTCATCCTGAGCTCCTACAACACATGCAATGTTATGTGTCTGTATTCGGACATTCCAAGCCCCCGTCATTGGAGTTATGTAAATTTAATGACTAATTAATTCATTTTCTTGTGTCTTTGTGGGAAGATGATTTATGGGATTACACCAATGGGACACCAACCATCAATGGATTCTCAGGACATCTCACCTGCGGCTCCGTTTTGGCCGTTACACTTTTTTGAAATTTCACCACCGGAAAGTGTATAAACCAAGTAAGGCGGTTTTGCACCCGAGGGAGAATCTAGCCCTTCTTGCTATCCCTGACACGTTTATCTATTTAATTTTTTGTGTGACTCAGCTGGACCTTGGTACGACTTTTTCGAGCCCACAATCAACCACCTATGTGGTGATTTATTTCATTCCATGCACACACTCCCACTCATGTCAATGCCCATGAATGTAATGTAACTCATGCATAATGACATTTCAATGTGCAATTGCCTTTGGTAGCATTTACAATGTCCATTACATAAAGAATACAATATAATGACATTTTTAACATAACAACATGTTTATCAATTCTATAAACATATGCACAAGTCCACCACAATAATTATTTGCTAAATAATCATTTAACATACATATTATTCCATAATCACATAATAAGCTAATAATTTTATTAAAATTGATATGTTATTTAACACATAAAATAATGCTAATGTACAATTATCATGCTTTAAACCACTAACATTAACTTATACTAAGTTAATCATAATAGGATTTTTCTAATTACAAAGTTAATTATAAATCATATATTTTACCCACTAGTTACACTAGTCAAGACCTAACATGTGTACATCATAGCCTACTAATTTCATATGTCATATTTTAGGTTGAAAGTAAATCTAAATAGGGGAAACTCTACCTCTCGTAGCGTGAGCCCACGTACTGGAATTTCGAAGAAACCCAATTTAACTTCCCAAACTTTAGGCCTAGATTATCGTCTTTGATATTCTTTCAGAGAAAAATATGATATTTAGTGTGGTTGCGTAGATCTTGCTGAGTAGAACAACTTTAATTCTTGGTCCGAAGCAATTAAGCGGGTCAATCTTCGTAGATTTAAGAATGAAGAGAAGAGAAAAAAATAAAATAATACTCACCTTTCTCTCGCTCACTTTCTCGGCAGCATACTGGAAGAAGAAAAGTGGAAGACTTTTGTCTTCCACTTATATATATAGTATAACTTTATTTTTTTTAAAATTTATATTTTTGACCCATAATTTAACCATTAATTATTATTTTACCCCTTAAATTAAGATTTTTAATAATAATAATACTNTTGAGTAGAGCAACTTTAATTCTTGGTCCGAAGCAATTAAGCGGGTCAATCTTCGTAGATTTAAGAATGAAGAAAAGAGAAAAAAATAAAATAATACTCACCTTTCTCTCGCTCACTTTCTCGGCAGCACACTGGAAGAAGAAAAGTGGAAGACTTTTGTCTTCCACTTATATATATAGTATAACTTTATTTTTTTAAAAATTTATATTTTTGACCCATAATTTAACCATTAATTATTATTTTACCCCTTAAATTAAGATTTTTAATAATAATAATACTATTTTTTTTATCGGGTTTTACATTCTCTCCCCCTTAAGGAATTTCGTCTCCAAAATTATACCCACATACACATAAAACGACATGCATATGCAAAAAGTCATTAAATACTCTATGACTATAAGAGATGTACCTNCTGAGTAGAACAACTTTAATTCTTGGTCCGAAGCAATTAAGCGGGTCAATCTTCGTAGATTTAAGAATGAAGAGAAGAGAAAAAAATAAAATAATACTCACCTTTCTCTCGCTCACTTTCTCGGCAGCATACTGGAAGAAGAAAAGTGGAAGACTTTTGTCTTCCACTTATATATATAGTATAACTTTATTTTTTTAAAAATTTATATTTTTGACCCATAATTTAACCATTAATTATTATTTTACCCCTTAAATTAAGATTTTCAATAATAATAATACTATTTTTTTTATCGGGTTTTACATTCTCTCCCCCTTAAGGAATTTCGTCTCCAAAATTATACCCACATACACATAAAACGACATGCATATGCAAAAAGTCATTAAATACTCTATGACTATAAGAGATGTACCTCCATATTCGAACAGAAAAAGGATAGGTAGCTCAGATAGTGTCCTCACGCTCTCATGTCGCCTCTTCCACCCCATGGTACTGTCACAGCACCTTTACCAGCCTCACAATCTTGTCACGCAAAACCTACTCTTAGCTGTCCATGATAAGCATTGGTCCCTCCTCGAAGGTCTCATCCGCATCAACCACTAGCTCACCCCAATCCATCACGTGTGTAAGATCTGGAGTGTACTTTCTGAGTATAGAAACATGGAACACCGCGTGAACACCAAATAAATTTCGCAATAATGCCAATCGATAGGCAACTGTACCAACCCTCTCAAGTATCTCGAAGGGCCCGATATACCTTGGCGACAGTTTTCCTCGCTTTTTGAACCTGACTACTCCCCTCTTAGGCAGCACCTTCAAGAAAACATGATCTCCGACCTTGAATTCCAAATATCGTCGTCGTCTATCGACATAGCTCTTATGTCGGCTCTGAGCTGTGAGAAGACATTTTCGTATCAATTTTACCTTCTCCGAAGTGTCTCTAA